GAACCGACCGATCACTGCGAACTGAACTGGTCAAACACATCCCCAATTCTGTGCGTGGATCAAGTGACTCAGGCTGCACCACAGCTTCTGACTCCATCACATAGACCGACTTTGGCCATCACACGCCAGTTGGTTGAAAGCGGTCACAAGGTAGACCTTACGAGCGAGTTCCAGGCTTTGTTACCTCATCGTGACAAACACCGACTAAGGATACTGGAGGCATTATTGTGCGCTAACAACACACGCACCTTGTGTGTCCATAGGCAAATGATATTCACCCCCTTGACATTTCCTGACTGTTACCATTCAAATGCAACAGACACATACAAGTGCATATGCGCAGTCACATACACAAATGATAGGACCTTTTCTAGATTTATAAGTTTACTTCATGTCTCTATCTTGTTTAACTCTACACGTATCGGAGTATACAAAGGAAATTTGTCTCACGCANTTGCCTGTTCACATTCATTACGGGATAGAAATGTTGCACATCTAATTAGGTTTGTCCACGAAGAAAACAGCTCGTTCCGACTGGACTGGGTTTTGATTGACCCGGTCTAATCGGTTCAATCGGTGTGAGGCTCGAAGTACCAATCGCCTTGTGTCGTGGAATGCGAATGGTCAGATTCACTTGAAGGTTTGACGGATTTGCTTAAAGTTGTGAAGGTTCAGTTCACTCTCGTGTCCACGTTTGTCATCTAACCTGACCGTAACCCCGAACTGAACCCAAACTACACGGTTTACCACCTTGTTAAGATGACCCATTTCAGCTCCTATGTTTCTTCGTTTGACATGATCGTACAGATGTGCTTTCGCAGCTGAAAGAGAGAGCAACTGGACTGATAATCAATTCACGTTCGATCCACATATGTCTTCTTCTGCTGTTCCAATTGATGACAAGAAAAGGCTGCTTCACTTAATCAAATGCTATTTTAGAAACCTAAATTGTAGTGGACGGCCATGTCGGCAAGTTTAAAGTCAGTAAAATTACAAGGACCATACTTTATAAACACATTCATTGACTTTTCTTTTTCATTTTTATTGCCTTTTATTGAATACACAAGGATACAATTGTAAGGAGAGAGAAAGCCACCAATCAAAGGGCTGTCATACAAAACACGAAGAATGACGATAGACAGACAGTCGTGGGCGAATACGAACACACATTATTTTGATCTAAAAATTGGTTACGTTGCCATCAGGCCACCACAGCCTTAGACAAACGATTTTGTCTATTTTGTAATTTTTCATAGCTATGTAAGACGACTGACTGTATAAGTCTAAATGAAGAGCGAGCAGTGTCCGGTAAGCTTTAGATTCACCTGTGTTGATCGCTGCGTACAACGGGTTTTTTTGTGTGGTAACAAACAGTTCATAGTCCCACTTTTTTATTTCTCTCCTCTCCGATCCCACCTAATCACTCACCCACTCATTCAATCACTTGCTCCAGCTTTTGACCATTTTGTGTGATTGTTAGCAGTTGTTAGCTCCGCACTGGATCGCTGATAAATCATAAGTTAGTGCAATTTAGCGACCGAACAACCTGAATGAGACACTTCAATTGGACAATTTGTTTCTACTATTCACTCCGGTCAGTTGGACGTCAGTTTTTTGTTATGCCTCGATTATATCAGCCTGTTTGCAGTCCTCAGTTTGTCTCCGATCCGATGTTTATGTTGCACATTGAGTCCAGTCACATGAGTCCAGGCGGGAACACGTATTGAGTAGCCTATGAGGAGAGTCATCTGTTTCATCGAGGTTGTGAACAATTCAGTAGCGTCGATGGGATTCGAACCCAGGCACGGACGCTGTGTACGTGCATGCTCTACTAACTGAGCTACGAGACCACACTGATAGGACTGATCTTTTCACATTCGAATTCCCCCTTCAACTTACAGAGGCGTATGGTACCCACCACGTAGTGTGTAAACTGACTACCCCGACAGATTTTCCTTCGAATTCATCGGAGTCCACCGAATGAACTTCTGAGGCGAGGTTAATTATGGATGTCATATGCCCCTGTAAGTTGAATGGATGATAGGAATGTGGAAAAATCAGTGCTATCGGTGTTCACTCGCAGCTTAGATGGCAGAACATGCGCTGTACAAAAGCGTAGGCGGCGTCCAGGAGTGGGCTCAAATCCCACCGAGGCTACTGAACTTTTCAAAATCTCGACATACAAACTTCAAATCGGCCAAACAACAACTTGAATAATATGTTTCGGACAATCTCGACCGATTTCTTCGAAAAGACCAACCGAACAGAAATTCTAGAGGAGTATCTATACAAAATTTCCATATGTATGTATGTTTTGTGCTCACGGTGGAGCAGTAAATATACATCTCCATATCGATATTGAAGAATATTTTTCGATTAATTTGTCGAAAAATAACGACTAGTGGCTCTTTCTGATGCTTGGGATATTAGCAGGACTACTTGAAAGGGATCATTTCGATAAATGTGTTCCATCTGTGTTTTTCATGTGTGTGTGATGGCTGCCTCGTGGGACATTGGCAAGAAGTGTAACAACAGCGAGGCAATAACAACACCATATCTATTATAAAGATATCATATGTCCTCCCAGAAATGTTGTGATTCTGTAGATTTCAAATAGATCCATAAGAAACGGGTTTTATTAGCTACCGCTTCTTGACCAACTGTTCGTTTCCGATGATTTACTATGAATTCTGACAATAGTAATTTAGAATAATTCCCCTTTCTGACGGGATACCATGAACCTGGAATGAGGTTCTTACCGAATTTCACGCGAATTCACAGACCCTCCGGATTAGGTGAAATCAAGTAAGTTCCCAAATGAATTAAAATTTGTACATCTTCAGCGAGCAAATCATGAGCAATGTAAGACGTGTATCTCTGGGAACGGGAAAGTTGTAGTCACACCAAAAACGTGGCGTTTGGTGAAAAGGGTTCAACGGAAGACGAAGCGACAACCACCTTGCAACCATACAATCACTGTACTGCTTGGTGAAGTTGGTAAACACCATAATGATAAGGAATTAGGTGTGTGAAACTCGTGCCATGCAAAAGATCGTGACAGCAATGTTTTACGAATTGAACGATTTTGTCATAATAAAGGTAGCTGCATTATTCTGCTAAGATACGAATGACATTTCAGATGCCCCTGAAGAATCTGTGAACTATTCTAAATAACCAAGGAAACAAGTAACAGGTGTGTACTATTATTGAACCGGTGTGGGTCTAACTCTGCGAAACTGATTGATTATAAGTGACAATACTTCAGACTCCACCTTCATACAAGCTCCTCATCTCGTCCAGTCTACCACACACTCCCAGGTAATAGACTCGAGTTTTGTTTCATTTTAAAGATCAACAGTAAAGTATATCCACCATCCCGTCCGGGATAGTCCATTCCGTTTAGTTCTGACATGAGCTAGCGGGCACAGTGGTAACAAATAATCCTTCCATGCGATAGGTCCGAAGTTTATTTCCTGGACAGGACGGTGAATACGCACAACTGGTGAGCTATGATAAGAACACGTGAACAACACATGATGTGTATATGCCATTTTTCTATCAGTTCTGAAACTCAAACGAACCACTTTCCTGCTGGCAGATGAACTGCAAGGTCAATAGTGGACACAATAACGGATTGATTATTTCAGTGTAATATGCTCCCTTTTCATTGCACGCAAAGATGCTATGTGGGTGTGATTCCATATGTACGTAGCTAAAATTATCAATAAATTGATGTTCTGTTTAGCCACAATACAGCCATAATCAAATCTATCATTCTAAAAATCGTTTCCTCTGAAAATATGTGCAAACATCCCGTGCAAATCGAGATGAACATTTTATTCAAGCAATTGCAAGTAGTGGATGAGCTTCTGCTCCATGAATCCAATCACATGCCGTTGTTTTCTCCACAAGTATGAATGGGCGCTCTAGCAGGGCAGGAGAAATTTATCCTTTCCGTCTCGAGGCCACAGATAATAAGTTCAGCGCGTTGTTCAGTTTCACTACAGAACGTAAAACTGGCTTCATTTATGGTCCGTAATTTTCGAACTTTTCGATTATAAGATTTCGGAAACTACTCTGCTAACCTTCAAGAATAGACTGATTACTTTTTTAAAATAGTTATCAAGCTTTCTTATCTCGAGTTTTCGCGGGATATCAAACCACTGAAAGGGAATTACAGAAAGCAACTCGCCAACCTTAATAGCTCGGTTGCTATAATCAGCGCGCGTTTTTTTAACCGTATTTAACCGTATCACCTTGAGTCCAATCTGGATTGCACTTTAGTTGCGGAGAGTACAGAACTGTTTTTCTCAGTAGAGGCTCATCGGCTCCGGTGGAAGAGAATCTAATCAGATAGTGTAATGGTGAGGAATGTTTTTCAAGCATTAACCGCCATTGCTAATCCATTTCGTCTTCATTATGTTCAACATACCGCCAGAGATTGAGACCTTTATTGATCAGCGCTATAGGCTCTAAACCAAAAGGGTGAGGCATGGAATTTACTGGAGGGAAATGTAGAACAGGAAGGTGATAACTAGACGGTTCTCATGGGTAAGTGTGAAATGTAAACGACTGACTAGGTGAACAATTACGGACAGGGAAGAATAGCTGGATTATCACACTAGTGCAGTAGCGCAGATGCTTGATGATAAAGATGAGGGATGGCGTAAGTCTAACTAAAAACGTTAGCCTTCGTGGCTCGTAAGGTTAGAAAAATTGGGTGTACAGTGCAACTAATCCCCGAGCAGATAACTATATTCTACGTGTTTCACTTTGTTATTAAATAAGGGGAAGAGTTTGATTGCATCGAGTGATATGCCTTCATCAGTGCGGTATTCTGCTTTTGATATTTCACGAGATTCATGTATGATTGATCGATAACCTTCAAAGGAAAGCCACATCAAAGACGTTCTTGGAAAAAAGTAAAACATCTACCACCGCTCTCACTCCTTTGGTTCAATATTTGATCCGATTTCTGAATCTCAAGGGTTACACCCAGAAATGGGTTAAGCTGTGCAAAGTTATTTGTGCTAAGGCGTTTACCCATCAAAGTCAAACATTTGACCTCAAACGCAAGAGGATGAAAGAGGGAACTGGAATATTTTCATTTGAGGAGCGACAGCCTCAAATAATATGTGCATTTAAATATCGATTCATACTTATTGTTTATTATTTCATAATCGAAATTATCTCCGAGTAGAAAATCACTAGCAGTAGCAAGTGAACTGATGAGTGAACTAGATGCCATCACCTGCTCATCGGTCGCTCACATACAGGAGTGTTTCGCGAACCTGATGACGAGTCTGCTGTTAAGCAACTTACAATACACATTGATAGGCAGCTTCATTGTCACCCAGTGCAATACCACGCAATATGTCAGTCGCCAGTCTGAGTTTTCCGGTTAAAGTTGCTGGTTTTCTCAACAAAGCTCACCATGGATTTGCGCACCGTGCAGTCTATCATTTCACACACACACACACACACAAACAAAGACACTGACCGCATTGATTCTAAACACTTCACTATCTTCTTACTTTCCATCCCCGGACTCCGATATTCTTTTTTAGGATATCGTTTGAATTTGTATTGATCCCGCTTGATATACCTTGTTTAATTTTTCCAATCAAAACCTTTGTCTGTCGATTCTTCATCCGTTCCTAACTTTTGTTATCCTTTCTCATGACTGCAGCATTCCATTTTATCTTCAAACAAAAAACATTTTCACTTTAATCCTACTCCTCATAAAATTTGATTGTTTGGCGTTGATTCTACTTTCAAATTGCCCCGAATATAACTGGTCATCAGATCACAATGACCAAATCAGGATGAGTAATTTCAGAAACAGTTTAGTAAACTCGGTGACCACTCTAACCAAGGGTGTATAGTCCAGCTGTTTTGCCATTGTAAACTGCTTCAAAATTTGGATCACCACCCCCTACCTATACCAACAGTTGCGGGGAGGAGCGCGGCCACTCTGTTGACGTTTTTTGGCGAATTCCAGATCGTCTCTTTCTTCGGGATTGTCATAATCTTCGTCTCTTATCTCATCAAAACACTACCTCATTACCACAAATCTTCATTTCTCCACTGTCGTCTCAGCATTTTCATCCCACTACATGCCAAGACGTTACCATTCTAAGGATCAGTATGATTTGCGCGAATTCCTTGTATCCTGTCCTCGGTATAGCTGTGCTTCTATTCTATTCGTCTGTCTCCAAGTCGCTGTTCTCGCCGATGCTCTTTGTATATGTGGAAAACGGTGCTCGGTGATCATTCAGTAAATTAAAGAAAAATTTTCGTCATTGCTGGGCTAGAAACCTCGTTGAATGCTCTTTGTGTAGCCACTCGTCTTGGTCCTTCAGGGGATTAGTTTTTCATAATTCTCATCCCTGATCTGTTCCTCCAGTGAAGACTGACTTTGGTGATATTTTTCTTCATCTTTTCCGAATGACTGAAGTGTTTCCCTGTTCCAACTTTTATCTTTATGCTTCCCATTTAAGGTTACGGTCTTACAATATCTAAGAATCACAAACAGAAATATTCGTCTAGCGAATCGTTACTGCATATGTTTGAGGCAATAAGTTCAGGTAGCATCTCATTCATCTGCCTCCGGACTTGCCCATTGTACACCGTTTATTTCTTTGAAGCCTTTTTCTCGTGGCGTGTTTCTCAAATGTTAGGATACTGCTTGAGTTATACCCATCCTCAATTGAGGTATTCGATGAGGTTTGGCCTAACTGACTTCTGGCACAACTTTGAGATTTTGAAATCTCCTCGGATTTATTCACTTGAATTTGAGGCTTTCTTTGTGAATGTTGAATCCCCGTGTGTGTTGTAGGAGTCAATTCAATAACAGTCCTAGGTAACTTAGGCATCGCTGTTTTTCTCCGTCGTAACCTTGCTGAACAGAGAATCAAAAATTGTTTTCGATAAATACAGACCCAACCACATTGAACAGTTAGCTCTACGATGACAAATTATACACCTGTACTGTGCGTCATACGTTTCATGAAATAGAGCACTAAAACATTAGCACTCAATAAAAATTAGCTTGCAGTTTTGGCGTGTGGCAAACTGCCCAGAGCCAAACCGGATATTCCAAGTGCTGCTGGTTCCTAACAAGAAAGACATAGCTGTCCAGTACTCACAGTGTATTTCACTGGTGAGTTACAAGCTAACTACTTTCCAACCGCCAGACAGGTTCAATGAAATAATTTGGTGTTCAGCAAGTGTAGATATCCTGCTAACTCGTGTTGGGAACGTGCTGTGAAATCGTACATCAGGAAGTTGATTTGAGTCAAATCCTTTTCCAAACAGGTATGATTTGGGGAAATATCCAGTAGTGTGAACGCAGACAAGTAGGCGAGAGCCAATTTTGGATAGCACAAATGATCGGCACGTCGGATTATTCATTCCTCATCGTCGGATTTAAGTCCCAGTGTACTCGGTGGACATACAATGCGGGTGATTTTTGACAGGGCTAAAACAATTGCAATTCCATCCCTTTGTCGAGGATGAATGAAGCGTTTCGGTTAGCTGACACTTAATTCAATGTGCCAGTTTCGGAAACCGAGTAAATAATGGTGATGTGCAGCTTAGAGTAGATAGTTTGCACAGATATCAACTGGAATTTCAAGGACACTCTGATACAGTAACTGATGAAGTTATGGACAACCTTTGTTTACGTGTGTATATACTGAACATGACGTTTGGATAGTTCTTTCGGTAACGTGAATCGCTATAGAGCCATCTTGGTAAGAGACAACGTTACGAATTATTTCGTCGTTTATACACAACTGGGACAAATTTCGAATAATATTACTACATAATTGGAGTCAGTCCCCATTTATCATTCGTCGTGTGCGGCAGACATGGAAACAAAAAGCAAATGCGGATCCCGTTGTTAACCAAACATTCTTTTCTTTTTTGGAGTCGAATTACGCCCTCAAAACAATTTTACTCACCAACTTTTTTACTCCCTCCGTCCACCTGTGTTGGTACGGGATCAGGTGGAAGTGTACAGTAAATCCACTCTTCCGCCCCGTAATCCGGCGACGGGACAATAAAATTGAACTGAAATACAACTTGTACAAGTGTGCGCTGACGTTCCGATGTGATTGAATGCAGTTCAAAACAGTTTGTGCTAAACCGATCCGGTTCACGATCGTATATCCATTGCAATAGGGTTTGTGTATATTCTCTGGACGGGATCGGGTGCTCTAGCATGACACTGATCTACGCAGTTGGAATGTACGGAATTTTTCACCGGAGACCGAACAGGTGTTTAGTTTAAATGTGACAATCCCCGGGATACTACGATATCAACGGGGCAGTTTAAAGTGTGTTACAGAAATAAACCAATCAGCATGGATGAAAAACGAACCAATAGGAATGAAGGAAAATACAGAATGGACAGAGATCACCATGTTCAGGATTCACTGAAAGACACTTGAAAATGTGTTGTCCGTAAGGATTGATTTGCACTAATTATGCTAAATATCATACCAAGAAAGTGAGTCGAAGACACGGTGCTGGAAAATGGTTGAACCAGTTATTCCAAACGCAAGAAGTATATTTTAATCAAGAACGATGCCATAAATGCACAGCATTACCGAATATCTTATTAATGTTACGTTACCAAAGTAACGTTAAACGCTGAAATTCCGGAGTAACCCCACAGTAAACATGAAATTATACCTTCACGGTCTTTAATCAGTATTCATGTTTTATTCATTAGACAATGTTTCAAACAAAGAGCATTTGGAAGAAACGAAACTAAAATACTGTACAATCGTTCTTGATAGCATAACCAACCTAATCTCATCAACAAAAAATGAATTGGGCAGCCAACACGTCCATCACTCCCCATTGTAACGCCCATGACCCTTTACAAATTGCTTATAAAATCCATTTATCCACACTTGACGCCGTTGCTCATATTGTTCATTCTGTTGCTTCCGTCTTAGACAATGGCGCTGGTACCACTCGTTTAACTTTTCTTGACTATACAAACGCTTTTGGTTCTCTCGACCAAAGTGTGCTTATTGATCGTCTTTCTGAGTGTGGTCTAATGCCTGAAGTCTTGAATATACTAATCAACTACTTCTCCCTTAGCACTCAGTTTACTTCACTCAATGGTGTGCAATCTTCTTCTATTAACATTGAGGCCGGTGATTTTCAGGGTGCCATTTTGTCCCCTTTCCTGTTTTCCACGTATAAACAAAATTTGCCCATCCCCACCAACATTATTGCTTGTAAGTATACTGATGATATTGTGATTGGTTGCCCAGCCCCTATTTCAGACAGTTTTCGACCTCTCTAGGACAGTCTTAATGAGCTTCACGATCGGTCTGTGACCCGATCGCTTGTACTTAACGTCAGTAAGTGCATCGAAGTTCCATTTAGTCTTAAAACCGGTCCCGGTTATTTTTCTTTAGTTGATAATCTTCCTGATCTTAGAATGAACAATCAAAGCGTTCCAAAATCTGCATCTGTTAAATACCTTGGTGTCACCCTTACCCATAACCTGTCCTGGTCTGCTCATGTCATCAAGGTTTTCGCAAAAGTTCGAAAATTGTCCTCCAATGCTTGCAAGCTCAGGAAACTGGCCGTATCGCATGATCTTATTATTAAATTTGTGATTGCCTGCATTCTTCCACACTGGCTTTACTGCTCCCCGATTTTTATCCGCGGACTGAAAGAAAAAGACTTTTCTTTATTTTCAAGATACCTTAGACTTTTGTCCTGCTGCAGTGGAGTTGATAAAGCTGTTTTAGTTGATTTCTTTATTTCCAAGCATCTTGACGCTTGTGATACATTCATTAACAGGATAACGCATGATCAAGGGCACTGTCAGCACCAAGATATCGCAAAAGCCCTGTCGATTACCCGGACAGGCTCCAAATATCAACTCCTTCCTGCGCGGACTTCCACATATCGAATCAGTGTGATTCCCTACCGAGCTCGTTTACTAGTAAATCATCAGCATATCCTCATCCAGCTCAGAGAAAAACTCAGCCTAATGTTTTCTCTCATTTATTAAATTTCAAAATTTCTTATACTGCATTTTTTGATTGGCAATTATTTTACCTATCTACTGTAAAACTCGTAAACTGCTGAAAATTCACCCTTTGGGTGCATCAAGCTTTTCTTGACTCGACTTGAATACAAGGATAACTAAACATAGAAGTAGATCAAATGCACGGAAAGTGGATTGATTGCATCAAAACCTTTTGCGCGCATAAGGTCGAGTGATAAAACCGATTAAGGAACGCTTCACTGATTGCCAAGAGTTTAACATTGCAATTACGTAAAAGTGGTTTGAAAGAGGAATGGGTGTCAACTGTGTATCTTGTTGTTGTTTTGCAACAGATGAGCTTGGATTTCTTGTGATCGCTTATCTACATCTCGCGACATTTGTTTTCTTTCTATATTAGTGAAACGGATAACGGGGACCGATGCTTCAAGTTTCTGTAAGCAATTTCGTCCATTCTGTGATCAGCACGATCGAACCACGTTTGCAGTGCATTACATGTCCACAGTCTCCAGCTAACCACGTTCCCCCACTAATAACCAGTGTTATTGTCAGGACCGCATACCGTCTTATTGATTGTTCATCATTGATACTTCCCGTTGGATTCCCATTATCTGTTATGATATCTGAGTCCACCAATCAAATTGATTTCATACAATCGATTTGAATGGGATTCAAAAAATACAGTGTGCACTGTGATTCATCCTTAGATCATTTGTGCATATCACTGTAAATCGTTTTCCCCCACTGTACGGGTTGGCGCACACACCAGTGCCAATTGCAGGTAACGGTGTTATTTTGAGGCAACAATGGCAGCAGACACGCCGTTCCCTCCGAGCTACCATCCCCGCGCCCTATTCATACTACAGGGGATCGATGAGGTCGAACGCAATCCGTACGCGTTTGCGTGCCGAAAACAGACAATACTATTCAAGGATACATAACTAATCGTATGTGTAGGTGCAATTAGCACTGCATAACAGTTTTGTTGTTTTGTTTTTTATCGTTGACATGTCATATCCTCGACGAGGTATTGATAAATACATTCTATCAGTTTTTAACTCACACCGAACAAGATTGCTGTGGTTGAAATCCAAGGCAAATTTTGTGTAAAACACACATACTGTCGGATAGTAGTTAAATATTGTACATCCCGCCGGTTTCGTACATTTGGCATTCAAATCATCCGTTCAATCTCTATCGAATTAATGTCATTCGCACAGACTGGCTGATCGACCGATGCAACGGGTTTTATTGCATACAATGATGAGAGGCTCTTGACTGAAGTCAGCAGACAGCGGCTTCCGCCTATTGTTGCTATCCGGATAATATAACTTACAGAGGATCTTTGAATATCTTGAAGTAAATTGCTCCAACATCATGGCTGCGAACGTATTCTCTAGAATAGCCTCGAAGAAGGCTTCCAAAGTGAGGACACCTAAAATTGACAAGATGAAGAAGAGGAGGAAAGAGAGCCATGCAAATCGCATTTACAAATGTTCGTCAAGTGCACATATATACATATATATACAGGTCTAATCGAAACTGAGAAACACTTGTCCGTTCGTACAGACAACAGCAACTTTCTTGCCCAATAATAATAAACAAGCCTTGGTCAGTCTTCATAGACGTGACGTTTCTGATTCGTTTATACTCAGCAGATGGAATAGTTTAGAATGTAGTGGATAATACAAGTTCGTCAGTTGTGGTTGACCTAGACCAATATCAGGTAAGAGTTCACTGAAGAGAATGGAAAAAAATTAACATTGATAATAAGCAAGATATAAAGTGTTTGTGCACTGATAGTCGCTTGGTCTCTCTTGATTCTTTAGGACTTTTTCGAGTCTCTAAGACATCGAACTGACCAACTTTATTAAGAAGTCGTTTTCCAGTTTGTGCCCCATTACAGATCGCACATTTGCCTCCAATCTCCAATGTACATGTAACACATTGACCTCTGTCTTCAGAACAGAAACCAGATTTTCAATCACTTTGAGATCCGCGCTATTTAGCGGAAGTTGCATAAACTGGAAATTGGACTCACGCACCTTCACTGAAGTCGAAAAGCAAATAATAAGAGAATCAGCCCTCCTTAACTAAATCAATTTACCAATGTCTCGTGAAACATGACACGGAGCGTTATCCTGCAAAGCGCTAAATTGTCCTAACGATATCTGTCCTGAAATTCCGGAAACACTTTCGTAATTAATGTTGCCAATTTCTCACTGGTCATAGTGCCTTTGACTGATGTCCACCGACA